TCCTCATGAAACGTCCGAGCATATTCTGGTCGGGTGGCATTCCACCTAGAACAGCAGACGGTGTTGATCTGTGTAGGTGTGCAGGAATGTTTGAAGTGCTGATGCGGTTGATGTCTCTCCTCCCCCATTTATTTTCTTAAGTGAATGCTTGAGTGTGTCCACAAATCGTTCCACTTGGCAATTATATTGCGGAAATTTATGACTCCTAACTCCTCGGCACTTAGGAACTGGCCTCCATTGGCTGTCACAAAAACCATTCGTATAGCGAAGCGGATGAAACATTCACGGAGGAATGCCGTTGTAGAGATCGTTTCTGCAAAATGTCTACAACGACCAGATATAGAATCTTTCCAATGGTCCAGCAAAATCCAAATGAAGGCGTTGCCACGGACCATCAGCACTCGGCCAGGGTTGTCGGTTGACTTGTGGTGGAGAATTTGCAGCGCTGGCACAGCTTGAACATCGACGGCCGTAGTCAGCAATGTCGTTGTCGATTCGTGGCCAGAAAACGATGCATCGAGCAATCGCTTTCGCTCGCTCGATTCCGTGATGACCATGACCATCTGCTTCGGAATACGTTTTTGGGAACACTGAAGAACTACGATTCGATCCATCATCACCACGCACCCACCAACCAATGAATAGGACTCTCGACGACTGAATAACGGTCTTACCTCGATCTCGGGAATAGCCTCGTTGCGCTCGGGCCAGCCCTTCTGGATGTTGGATATCACCTTCTGTAGTACTGTCCTTTGCTGTAGCAGCTCGCACCATCTTGTAGTGTTTCTTGCAAAAAGGAACTGAAATCAGCTTCGATGCGAACCGTTGCTATTACTGCTTCCTCTTCTGGCTTCTCCGTAGCCTAAATGTTGCGTTGAAACGTACTCGATTTTAAAAACGTATCCCAGAGCTTCGGCAGACGTCGGGTCGTGATATCGGCATCCTTCCCTGAATTTAGACCGCAGATGAACACCAGGCTTTTGAACTGGTTAACGGAGAGTTTATGCAGCTCGAAATCTTCGCACTGCCGGTTGACGACTCCGGCGTACGTTACGGAGTCGTCGACTTCACAAAAATTGACTTTAACTTGTCCAAAACTTGGTCGATTTGGAAATCACGGCGGCCTGGTAAGAGATAATTGAACAATTTCTCGTAAACTGAAACGCTGAGGCAGCGTAGCAACAGCCACACTTCCCCGGATCGTCCAGATTTCTGCCATCCTGTCCAAAGAGATCCTCGTACTTGTACGGACTTGGTCAGCAGGTTGTCATACAGCTTTCGAGCACGGGTTCTAACTACGGTATTCTGCTTGAGTGATCGATTTGATTGACTTTTGGTGCGGTATGCCTGTAAGCCTTTACGGTAGCAAAATCGCTGCACTGTGCTACGGGCAGCATCATACTTTTTACTCAAATCGCGATCGGACGTACCTGGGTTGCCTCTGATGGACCTCACGACCTTTCCATGGAGCTGACGGTTGGCAGTTCCACTCTGGCGTTTACTTTGAGGATTCCGATTCGTCGTCAAGGTTTCCCTGTACGTTATGAGCACGCCCCATAGCGTGTTTCTGCTCCTCTTGCATGGTGACTGTCTCCAAAACAAGAGCGTTTTATGAACTTAAAAAATGCACTGTTAGTGTTATTGTTGTTTTCAACACATAGACGTCAAAAGCTTCCGAATACGTCCACTAGGAGCGCTGTAATAAGCTAAAGAGTTTGTTTCATTTTTTTAGAACCATGCCGAACAACTCTGGATCAAGCAGTAGCAAGAGGCGTCTTCTAGCTAATGTATTTTCGCCGATTCTTAAGCTGGGTTTAGACTAGGCAAGTCAAATGATCAACTCAGTTTAATTCAATTGGCTAGAAAATTTGAGCCTGGTTCAACTTTTTTCAATTCAAGTGAGTTGATCAATTCAGTTGTATGGTTTACACGTTCAATTCGCGTTCAAGTCAATTGAAATCAACTGACTTGATCAATTGACTTGCCCTGTCTAAGCCCAGCTTTAGGTACGGAGGTCCAGCCTGGGTTGCAGCGCTGGAAAGCAAGCGAAATTGAGCAGTACGTTCAGGTTTTCGTAAGCTCACACAGAACTATCTCGTTATGCGTCATCGCTAGAATGACCCCTAGGGTTGATGCATATATTATGTCACGCTCTGGGGGGGGGGGGGGGGGGTGTCTGAGATTTTGTGACAAGCAATGCATTAGGTATAGGAAAAAAGTGACGATAATTAATGCATGAGCCCCTATCGGCATGGCGGATTAAATTGAGAGCTACAAGCGAAAACAAACCTGATGTACAGAAAATGGTAAGAACGGGGTCGACGGTCAAGTGACAGCAGGAATGGGACACGGCAGAGAATTGTACGTGAACCCACAGGCTTATCCCAATTCTCTCGACATGGGTAAAAAGAAAGCACCCCTCTGTCCAGAATGTGAAAATGTGGTGGAAACACCGGAGCGTTTGATCTTCGACTGTACTAGATTCGAAGCAGTGCGAAGCCCTTAACGCGGCTAATTTCGTCAATTAAATGTGTCGAGAGGAACCTAGAATGCCGTCAGCAGGGTAGTTACGGAAATTATATTTGTACTGCCGCATAACTAGAAAGATGCGCAGCGATCAAGCAACGTTCGTCAGCAACATGGACGGTAGCCCACCAAGGGTTAAGCTCGGACCACTTTCCGGGTGGTGGCCGAGGTGGGCTCCTCCGTTAATCATTCCATGCTTCCCGTCGGAATTACCATCGGGTAAGCTGGGATCGGTTCCAACAAGTCGTCGACGAAGCCATCGTATTCGGCGCCTTACTGGGGACGACTGATGACATCGATAGATCTCTGTGCGCCGTCGAGGAGGCGGTATCCCGAGCCCGTGAACAACACGTGCCAGCTTCCAGACGGGTGAGTAATTGTCTGACCCTTGATCAGAATACTAAAAGCCTAATCAGACGTAACGCCATGCGTAGGCAGTATCAGAGAACTGGGCTGCCTACCTTGAAGACCCATTCCAACCAAACTTATCAAAGCCAAAATGGTGGAACTCAGAAATGAGAAATTTGCCAATAACATCCGTTCCCCCTCCCAGATTGTGCCAAAAAGTCCTCAAAACTAAATCGAGGCCTATTGTCCCGACAGTTCAGTGGTTCACCTGATAACACCTGCCGCGATAGGTCAACATTTCGTCAGCTCCCACAATCTCGGACAAAACATCACCAGCCCTCACGAAGCTGAGGTCGCTGAAAATGTAACCAATCTCCACCAGGCTCCTAACATCTTTCCCGAGGAATCCGAGATCACTGCTGACGAACTGTTGGCTTATATCAAAACTTCCAAAAACATGAAGGCCCCAGGTTTCGATAACATCCTGAATCTGGAGCTCAAGCACCATCTTGCACTGATTTTCAATCAGTGCCTCCGACTTGGCTACTTCTCCTCGTGCTGGAAGTTAGCTAAAGTCATCCCCATTCGGAAACCTGAGAAGGATCCTTGCTCTCCTTCAAGTTACCGACCCATCAGCCTTCTCTCAGGGTTGTTGTCAAGTTGTTTGAAAGGGCAGTTTACAGCCGGCTTCTAACATCTGCCGAAGAAAACAACATCTTACTCGAGGAGCAGTTTGGTTTTCGAAAAGGTCGATCAACCGTCCACCAGCTGACTCGAGTAACAAACATTCTCAGACGGAACAAGTCTGTTTCGAAAACATAGGCCATGGCGTTGTTGGACGTTGAAAAAGCGTTCGACAATGTCTGGCCTGGTGTTCAAATTGCAGCACTACGGTCTTCCAATCTTCCTCATGAAGATCATACAAAATTATCTATCGGACAGGACGTTCCAGATCTCTCTGAATGGCATCACATCGGATGCCTTTAGCATCGGTGCAGGTGTGCCTCAAGGAAGTATCCTTGGGCCCATCCTGATCAATCTATTCACCTCAGATATTCCGACTCTCCCTGATGGTGGATCGTTGTCTCTGTTCGCAGACGACACATCCATCGTCTACAAGGGTAGGGTCATCGGAGCTCTGACTACCAAACTCCAGAGAGGCTTGGATGTCCTGTCTGAGTATTTCAACAGCTGGAAGATCCGTATCAACCTGGCGAAGACCCAGGTCTTAATTTTTCCACACTCAAAATCTCCCAGACCTGTTCCGTCTGAGAATAACAAAATCTGCCTAAACGTCACAATGGTGGAGTGATCCAAAGAGGTAGTCTACTTCGGACTAACACTCGACAGCAAGCTGATTTTCAGGGAGCATGTTGACAAAACAAAAACAAAATGCAACATCTTGATAAGGTCGTTCCTCTCCGTATAATCCTTCCCGTCATAGAGTACGGGTTGCCAATCTGGGAGAGTTGCGCACATTCTCATCACCTCAAACTACAAAGGATACAGAACAAGATCCGGAGGATGATCCTCAACAGTCCACCGCGTACTAGAAATTCTGAGGTCCACCGCCTGGCTGGTCTTCAGACCTTGGCGCTACGGAGAACTGCTACCATCAAAAGTTTCAGAGATTGCTGCATGCGATCCGATCAACAGATCATTAAGGTTCTGGCAAGTTAGGATAGGCAACTAGGTTAAGAAGGTAGAATATCAAATATGCTTTCCCTAAAAGCAAAATGTAAACTATTATAATGTAAAACTAAAATCATTACAGCACAGTAACTTGTTATAGATATAATCACAGAATAATGAACAGCTTTCGGGCTAAATCAATTGAACTGTACAATAATTGTAAACCACAAGACAATATGTAAATAAACAAACATTTTAGTAGTTTTAGTACGATCCAGCAACGCCAGCTAGCGCTGAGGATAACAGAAATACATAAACACATCCAAATATATTCAAAGCTTAAGATCCCATGACACACGATAGATTTGTAAGTCTTTTGCTTGTGAAATACCAATGAAGTACAACCCAAAATTATTTCCCAGCATAACCGATTCTCAAAGAAAGTAAGTGTAACTACTTCAGTATGACAACGAAAATGAAAAATTCCTACTCACTCGGTTCGAACCAGCACTTGCCGTGGCCGTTGAGTGGGATCACCAGAATCCGGCCCTGCATGTGGTAGCTCCCTTCGATGCGCATCTTCGGCAGCTTGATGTGCGTCTCCCAGCTGAAGTCCCGGCTGCTGACTCTATGGATGGAAATCTGAGGATAGAAATCACTTTGCCCCATGAAAACCAATCACCCGTCCTGAAGCGAAACGTACACATTGCGAACTACTTTCGTATTGGCGAAACCGGTCACCACCACCTTGGAGAGGGACGCGTTGACGCTCACGGGCCCGTCGCCCTGCAGGATGCGGATCTTGTTGATCTTCATCGGGTCGATCGTACCGACGTGCTCGAGGCCTTCGATTCCTGCAATAGATGGATAGAAACAATCCTTATTAGATTCAGCATTTTTGTCGCAATTGCGAACATTCTAGTTGGTAGGTGAACCATTGCAACCAGCCACTAGAGCCACTAGATTAGTGTCACATTCCTGAAACCAGTCAACCAACCATATAGAAGGCTGCTACTACCAGCAGCCACCGAAACTATTTACTAACTTAATTTACGATCATCTGTGTCCCACAATTTTGGCTTGCAATGTTTCACACATGGTTTGCGAGTGTCAGTGTCACCGGTCGGTGGTATGTTTTTCACAGCAGCACCCCAGCACGTGGAACTGGTTCTGTTCTTCTAGGCTTAGGTATAGGTGAGAACCGATCGCATGTTCTCTCCAATTACAGCCCAACGGCCAACTTGATCCGACTAGGTTTATTGAGGTTATGTTGTTGTTGTCATTTGCTAGCAAACCAAACAAACTGTTGGTAAGGCAAATAGACTTCAACAGCAGTGGGTGAAGATTTTGCGGAAATCCGACTCGGATCGGAACGTTGATGCTGAGAAGAATTTGCAGGTTGAAATTGTCGGTACTCTATGAGTTATTGGGCAACCCCGATGCTATGACGACCACTTTGTTCCGGACGGTCTTGGCAAGTTAAAGTGATGGGTAATCCAAGATGCACATGCATTATGCAACTGTCGGTTGAGTCGAGGAGATTATGCTAGTTCCTACCGCAATACCAACAACTTCGACATTATGCCATATAATGGCTTGACGCGTGTGAGTTGGCTTAGAACCTGTAGCGTGATGATCAAATATAAATTATCGGTATTGAGGACAGGTCGTCGTCGGTGGTGACTGAACCAAACTGCACCCAAGCCGAGCCGGTTCTAGTGGAAGTTTCACAATTCTAAATCTAAGCTACTCTGGGGACGCGGGTGCCGATATGCGTACAGACTCACGTACTTATGTAGGCATACGATGGCTGGTTTAGGGTAGGTGAGTTTTTCACGATCAATGTTAACCGCATGCATTCAAGTGTATGGCAAAGCGGTGGCAGTGACGAGTAAGCAGTTTTCTTTTTGTGCAAGTCGCTGCGTTAAATAATAGGCAATTAATTTGCTGCTTAAATAGTGGGTCTATTCTGCTGTTGGTGCTGACAAGATCTTGAATTTGAAATGTCATTGGCTAGCACTAATGGCGGGTGCTCAATCGATGCGGAAATTGGTGTTACGAAATATGAGAAAATTGAATGGGAAAAAGTGCGACCTGTAATACTTTCCTAGGTGGATGGCGGTAATTTTCATTAATTACAAAGTGGTTAATTCTTGCAGTTACAATGCAGCATAATTAGCGTAGCATTAGGTGAGTTTATGTTCCAGCGGATACAACGTATATTCGGTAATTAGTCAGGTAAAACAGTCGTATCTCTCACTCAGTATCCTGTGCCCTCGAGTGTTGCAAAGGCCCAACTACTCTTACGTAGGACCTAAAGATTGTCGTTGTTGCTCAATTCATTAAGAATTTCAAAATATTGAAATCTTGTATATGATATCAAAAAAAAAAAAAAAATCGAAGTTTAAATTCATATTACAAATTTTTGAATCCAAACGATATTTATATTAAGCGTCCAGGATCATGAGGAACCAACGATTATTTTCATGGATTTTCTCTATTGCTAACAACTCAACTGGATTAAAATTTCTCGGTGTTTCCTGTTGATTTTGAGAGCCAATACATTCTTTCACTGCACTGTATCGGAAACATTTTGAAAAAATTGGTTTAATCAGCTGTAATTATGTCATACTAAAAAAACGTTTTGGTGTTGTTATATGCTTACTAGAGTGATGCAAAATTTGAAATTTTCGCTCCACAATACTTAAACGATTCCAAATCGGATCCTGACTAACCTCTCAAAATTTGAACCCCTTTGGTGAGAGACTGAGATGGCACAAACCATTTGAAGTTTGTATGGGAATTACTATGGTAAAACCAAGATTTTTGTTCATTTCTATCTAATAATTCACCATATCGGTCTGCTTCAAAAGCTTTCCACTGTACTTGTAGGAAATTTTCTCAGCTACAACTTCAAGGATCAAGGATCGAAAGTTATCAATGGTTTAATGCGCTGATGTCTTATGATTATGCTCAATCAACTGCTCAGCAGGCAACATTGGTAGAAACACCGTTGAATAGGGGCGTTGAATAGGACACAAAAATCTACTACCTATGTCACACTGCAAAATACAGTGCTGCGTACAGAGCAGCTGCTTCATCATGTCATAAGTTTACCAATCTCTTAAATAATTAATAACTTTTTCCTGTTTCGTTTTACATAGAAACGATCTTCAGAAAAGTTGTAGCTGAGAAAATTTTCTATAAGAATAGCTATCGAACTGTTTCGCAGCTCAATATGGAAAAAGTCTTAAAGGCAATGAAGAAAAAGTTGAGATTTCCCATAGTAATTTACATGTAAACTTCAAATGGCTTGTGCGAAGTCTGTTTCTAACCAAATGAGTTGTAACTTTGGTAGGCTAATCAGGACCCGATTTGAAACCATTTAAGCACTGTGGAGCAAAAATGTCAAATTTTGCATCAGTCTAATGCTTACTTACCTTACCAATCAGGCTAAGGCATTGTTGTCCTCTGCTGTCCGAAGAAGTCGTCTCCACTCTACTCGATCCATGGCCACACTTCGCCAGCCTTGTAGTCTGCGAAGGGTCCGCAGGTCGCCTTCTACTTAGTCGATCCACCTTGACCGCTTCCGACATGCCCAGTGAATGTGGACGATAGATGGTTCTCCCAGCAGCTGGTGTAATTCGTGGTTCATTCGCCTCCTCCACGTTCCGTCATCCATTTGCACTCCACCGTAAATGGTACGTAACACCTTCCGTTCGAAAACACCAAGGGCGCGTTGGTCCTCCACGAGCATAGTCCAGGTCTCGTGGCCGTAGAGGACCACCGGTCTAATCTTTGTCTTGTAGACAGTCAACTTCGTGCGGCGGCGAATTTTATTCGACCGGAGCGTCCTCCGGAGTCCAAGGTAGGCACGATTCCCTGCCATAATGCGTCTTTGAATTTCTCTGCTGATATCATTTTCGGCGGTCACCAGTGAGCCCAAATACATTAACTCATCGACCACCTCGATTTCGTCTCCATCAATCTGAACTCGGGGTGGGAGGCTAACATTATCTTCCCTAGAACCTCTATCTTTCATGCATTTTGTCTTTGATGCGTTGATGGCAAGTCCAATCCGCCTAGCTTCAGCCTTCAGTCTGATGTACGTTTCCGCCATCGTCTCAAAGTTCCGTGCCATGATGTCGATGTCATCGCCGAAGCCAAGGCTGGATGGGCTTCCTGAAGATCGTGCCACTCGTGTCTATCCCAGCTCCTCTGATCACACCTTCTAACGCGATGTTGAATAGCAGACACGAAAGTCCATCACCTTGCCGTAATCCCCTTCGAGATTCAAAGGGACTCGAGAGTGTTCCTGATACTCGAACAACGCACATCACTCGATCTATCGTCACCTTGATCAATCGCGTCAGTGTACCCGGAAATCCGTACTCGTAAATAATCTGCCATAGCTGATCTCGATCGATTGTGTCGTATGCGGATTTGAAATCGATGAACAAATGATGTGTGGGCACGTTGTATTCGCGGCATTTCTGCAGAACCTGCCGAATCGAAATTTGGTCCGTGAATCCCGCCTGGTATTGCTCCACCAGCTCTGTTGCAAATGGTGACAGGCGGCGGCATAGAATTTGGGAGAGTACCTTGTAGGCGGCGCTCAGCAGTGTGATCGCGCGGTAGTTGCACCAATCCAACTTATCGCCCTTTTTGTAGATTGGGCATACGACACCTTCCATCCACTCCGCGGGTAATATCTCCTCCTCCCAAATCTTGGCAATTACCCAGTGCAGCCCCCGTATTTCAATACCTCACTTGGTAGTTGATCTACACAAGTTGCTTTGTTGTTCTTCAGCCGATCGATCTCCACCTCCACTTCTTGAAGATCAGGGGCCGGTAGCCTGTCGTCTTCTGCGCGTGCTCCAAGGTCTGTTGTCGTGCCACCTTCGTTTTCTACTGCATCGCCGTTGAGGTGCTCGTCATAGTACTGCTTCCACCTCTCAATCACCTCACACTCATTCGTGAGTATCTTTTGCGCGAACTATTTAGCGTCTCGTAGAACTTCCGTGTGTCGTTTACGGGGTACAGATTTTCCATCGCCTCGCGATCTCGGTCTTCCTGCTAACGCTTCTTCCTTCGGAAAACCGAGATTTGTCTGTTCCGCGCTTGTCTGTATCGCTACACATTCAATCTCGTTCGGTGTTGCAGCATTCTCGCTCGTGCTACATTCTTCTCGTCTACTAACAGTTTGCATTCGCCGTCAAACCAGTCATTTGTTAGGTCCGGGATCGCAGTACCTAGTGGCGCTACAGGAGTACTACCTATGGCGGAACGGATGTCCCTCCAGCCATCTTCAAGAGTAACTGCGCCAAGCTGCTCTTCCGTGGGTAGTGCAACTTCCAGCTGCTGCGCGTAGTCCTGGGCAACTCCGGAGTCCCGTAGTTGCTCAATGTTGGATCGCGGTGTTCGACTTTGACGGGTGTTATACACCGTCGAGAGTTTTGAACGCATGCATATTGCAACTAGGTAGTGGTCCGAATCTATGTTCGCACTGCGGTACGTGCGGACGTTTATAATGTCGTAGAAGAATTTCCCGTCGATTAGAACGTGATCGATTTGGTTTTCTGTGTGTTGGTCAGGTGATCTCCAGGTGGCTTTGGGGATATCCTTGCGGGGGAAAAAGGTACTTCGAACTACAATACTCCGAGAGGCTGCAAAGTTCATGCATCGTTGGCCGTTGTCGTTCGATACGGTTCGATTTCCTGTCTATACATTGTCTCCCGTTCTACCTGAACGTTCATGTCGCCGATGACGATTTTGACATCCCGTTGCGAACAGCCGTCGTACACCTGCTCCAGCTGCGCATAGAACGCTTCTTTCTCGTCGTCGGGTCTCTCTC